CGAGTCTTCTATCCAGTGATGTTTATGCTTTACTTCGTGTTTGGAGGTGAGTGGTTTCAGGGTAAATCCACTATTTATTAGTTACTCTCATCGGTACACCCAATGCACTGAACACCCTCATAACACCGAACAGTTGCTTCCAGGAATTTTCTTCTCGGTCTCAAAACTTATCAAGAACAAATCCATCTGGAATACAGCTTTATGGTTCAATTTACTAATAGGTAATTGTTTCTCCTGAAATGGTACACGTGGACGCACGTATTCCAAACAAATCTTTTCTCTCTGGATACGCCATGCACTCATCTCCCATTCAAAATCGTGGTAACAATCGAATTCGTCTTCCGCTTGATTATGCTCCCAAGCAACTTTGTTACCATGATTACAAGAATCAAAACAGATCACTATTTGACACAACCATTTCTTATGTGATGTCTTAACCCGTACTGCTCATACGTGGGATATACTGTATGCTTTCGATCGGTATTTTCGCTCCAAGTCACACTTACTAGGCCCAACGCAACGGAGTCTTCGTTCTCGTCAAGCGCAGAATAGTCAATAATCTTGCTCTTGTGAATATCCATTCTCCAACCCCCCTCCCCTCCAACGCTCCCCAACCCACCTCCATGAAAGGATATCACAACTAAGGCGGAGTAAATAGCGAATATTAACCAAACCCGATTAGAAACTCTGTTTGGACAGCATTCCAACAAGAACCCCTCTCTTCCCAGTGACCTGTACGTGTAAGCATCTGAGCCATTGTGATCTGTTATATTTTTACGCCTTTAAACCCTATCACGAACTTTTGTAATTTGTCCTTTTTGACGTAAAAGAAACAGTTCAACCATGGAAGGGCTCAAGCACTTAGTACAGTAATATTTTCAGGAACTGGTATGTTCATAGCATTTTATGGCCAAGAATGGTACGCTCGCCAACGATTGCGCCTCCTACAGTAATTCGCGTACAGACTTCTTTGCCGGAAGGCATTGGCAAATTGCCAATCGGATAGTGACTTGGCCAATTGATGTGTGATATCTCTAATTCATAAAGTATACATAAATGGTCCTTCCAGTTCACATTGTGTTGCCTACTACGGATGACACAGAAAGAGAAAACAGGAAGAGAAAAAGGGTAAATGCTGGTCGATCGGATGGCTTGCATGTCTTAAGGAGCTATCCGATCACCATTAAAGGCACCGAATACGATAAGAGGGAGCGCATCAGGGAAGTATATGCACCACACGAGTCAGTTACTTGGCTGCCAGGAAGCTAGGTGTGGCACTTTCACGACGAAAGGTTCGCTGGTTGCTGAAGGCAGGACTTCGGAGGCACTCCGCCCCCAAAAGCGATCCGCCCACTTGTCACTTGCGATTTGGACAGCTGACGTTGCCAGCCATGCGCCGCAACCTTCCCCCTGTAATCCATTAACACGTTGACGACAACGCGAGTTTTGGCACTTTTGGCCACGTGGGACCACGGCGTTTTTGCGAGCGCCGCCGCCTCAGGTTGTTCAAGCAAATTTTGAGTGATAAAAACATAAATAATGATCAATACAAGGCCAGATCAATATATTGTAATGAGCACAACCTACTCGGAGGTACAGTAGCGGAATTTCTATTGAAAGACATGGAATAACAATGAAAAAGTGATATTCTTTAGAACAAGCTGCAATGAACTTCAAAGGCAATTTTAAGTTGATTATTTTAATCAAAACACATATATTGTCATCCTAAGGTTCCGTATCTACTTCTACTACTATTTAAATCTTCACATTCATAAAAAGAAAAAGTAAACGAAAAATTTATTAAACTGAAGATTTCGTATGGTTCAGAAATCCTCCTCTAAATTGAAGCATACGTGACCATTCTATGGGCCACTATGTTTGTAGCTACGTCAAGGTCTCTTCCATGGAATAAATACAAGAAACTTCTAGAAGAATCAGGCGTGCGCGAAAAAAATGAGTGTAATGGGTGCGGGGGATATATATCCCGCACGGTCCGACATGGCCTGCAATGCGCGGGATATATATCCCCCGCGTTGTCGTCAATGTGTTAAGCGTGGTTGGCATGGCGCAACCAAACGCGTTGCGGTGAACTCGTTCATACGTCCGCTTTCTGAGCTGTTACCTGTTCATGAGTGAAAACCAACGGCCAAAAAAGGGGTCCCGTTTTGCGTTTTCTTGACGGATTTCTCCGCCTTTTTCGCCGTACCACTGATCACCACCACGTCTCCACTAAACCTATCGTGATCGCTGCCTTTGAAGGAATCCTTCCTAGAAAATTCTTGCATTTTTCCCAACATGAATATGTCAGTTGTGATCACTAGAGACAACATACAAAGTTTCACGCACAAGATTCAGTTTCCGAAGAGAAACAAACTTACGAAAACCACACTCTATGGACAGTCGAAGGTAGGTGGCGGAGCCAAAGGCGGGGCATGGAAAGAAGTGCGCCTTGGGGCGGCTACGTATCAGGCGACGCAATGAAAGAATCGGGTTAAAGCGTGCGATTTTGGAGAATAGAGACAAAACGATCGATAGAATAGGATGCAGTAGAAGTGTGAGATGTTAGTGCAATAAGTCAAAAGGTCAAAAAGAGTTTCTAGTGACAGCACTCCGTGAACCAAGTGGAAGCGTTCCCGCCGCCAGCATTTGTGACAGATGTCCGGCGGGAATTTGAACGCGTAGCAGCCTTCCGGTTTTTCGAATTGTTTACCAAAACAAATGCAATTTTTTTTGTTCTTTTCGTTCTTATCGTGAACGATGGGTCTCAAGCCAGTGATTTATGGTGAGACAGAATGACTTTTCCGGGAAGGATTCCTTTGAGCCGGCCTCGGAGGTGTAGAAGGTCACTTTGGCTGCATGACTCCGCTCACCCAGCTATACAAAAAAAGAGCGGCACAATTTTTTGTGGTCAAGCCAGCGTACAATGCAGAGTTATGGTTACAGAAATCATTAACGTGAAGAATCACACGTGACATTTCCAAACGCGTGCTATGCTCTTGCAGAAACGTGGTGAAGGGGCTGATAAAATCAACGCCGGTATGGCATTTTTCCTGTTAATGATCGTTCTTATTTAACAAAACCGCATTACAACACTTCGGATTCATGGTGATAACAATTACAGCCTTTTTTGACTTTGAACGTACGATCAAGAACCATAGATCTTATTACTCAAAACATTAAACAATACTCTGAGAACTCTTCACAGGATGATTGCAAAAAAGGAAACCTACGAAGACAATGTAGAAGCATATCCCAATAATGGGAGCATTACGATGCAACAATGCGCCGACTGTAGCAATCCAAATGTTGGCAGGGAAGGAAGCTTCGGGCGTGAACCAATTTTCTTGTGCAAAAGGTGTTAAATGTGCACAATATATAATACTTTACAGAAAAAGAAAGCTCGTCATTATTTTACGAATACGTTTGACTTTCTTCCCTTTTTCCAGAATAGCGGGTAGGCAATACGATCGAACATTTGCCGTTAGCGAGACATTCAGAGTTTAGTGTTTATTAGCTTGAGCGGCAGTGAAGCGCAAAGCATCCCAACTCAGCGATCAGGGTATACCGGTGTAACCGTAACCAGGGTGAATATCGCTTGAGGATTCCTCAACGGCACGTCGAGGATTCTCTGCCCGATCAGAGACGATCTCTCGCGCGGACATTCACACTCGCCATGCCGTGCCGTCTGTGCTCTCCGCGCGGATGTTCACTCTCGGCACTACTCTCGCATGGTAGAGAGCTATGGTCGAGGATTTCCTCGACCGTTATTCACCCTGCCGTAACAACGAAAAAAAAAACAGTAAGACTCAAGGATCATGAGCCTTCTAAACAGCTTTCATAAAAAGATCATAAAGGAAAAGCATGATTCTTTACGAGTAATAACTTACTTGCAACGTTTACAAGTGCAATGAGACCTACTGTTTAGTGCATGTAAAGCAGAGATCTCGCAATTAAACTGAAAACTTTCTACAAACGAGGCATTCAACGGGATATGGTATCACATCTTCTCGTATCTGAGCACATAATCACATTGGGTGCACTCCTTCCAGTATTCATCTTTACTTTCGTCATACTCTTCCTCACCATAAGTGTGTTCATGCGCGGCGTTCTCTTCGATTTTTACACCGGAAAGACCACGAATCTGAATAAAGCTCTTCCAAAGAAAGCAACAAGGCAGAAAAAGAAAAAATGCTGATACAAAGGAGCAGATCGCCAAAATCTTGGTTTTGACACGGCAAATTCGGATTGAATCTGCTGATTCAAAGTAAGACATTTTTCCAGACACGCCCTTGACGGACCTTTCCTCAAACAGAGGGTGTCGCGGCTTCTTTCAAAATATTGATTAGATTAACATTTAGCTGTCACTCAGACAATGCTATGAGAACAGAGGAATACGATGGCGTGTGAAGAAAGAACAAATTTCTTGAAAATTGTGGGTGGAAAAAGGATTGGGGAATAATATTGAACGAACTTGTGAAGCAGGAGTGAGGTGGTTTTGAGAAATCATGTCGAATGTGAGAGGCCAAATGAGTGTCGTGCCTTGGGAATTTGTCTAATACTTCGGCCTGTCGACGTCCTTCTTTGCCATATACGACATTGCCCACATATCCGATTTCGTGAACGCCCCCTCCAAGGCCACGCTAATTCACTACAAGATTATCTGGTGGTTGGTCTTCGTGTTAGGAGTTCCATCGAAGAAACAAGGATAATCAGCTATGGTAAGTACACCATATAGAGCTGAGTTTGAGATGAAATGTTGCCAGTTAGCGAACTTTGATAGCAGCATCTTGCCCTGAGAAACCCAGAACTCTGTGAGATAGTGCAGCGTGCATAAAAACGGGTTCAATTGAAATTGGGACATTGCGTTCCTTATCAGTGCGAACACTTACAACTTACTGCTGTCGATTTCCTGACCTGCTTTTCAAAATTACTTCTACGCCTGCGTTTCCTGTGTGTGTGCAACTGCGGCAATTTTGCTCAGCTTTCGAACTCCTCCCAGCTTACCGTAATATTTCTAAGCATCGCTCAACCACCTTGACTAACGACGGTATGAATCTTGTTGACATGTTCTCATGTAAATTCCAAAATGTTAAAATTCGGAGCACATCTGAGAAGTAGTGGCAGGCTGATTGAAAATTAGAAAAACTGCTATTAATGTACATTTAAGATATAGCTTCATATCACCATAGCGCGGATTGTGAGGATTCTTCTTCGCCCAGTAACGCAGCACTGGTTTCCGCAGATCCAAATCACAGTCTTTGAGCAAGGTAAAACGACTTTGCTTCCGTTCGAGGGATGAGTTTGTGTTCACCCAAATCATCTCTGAATAATGAATAATCGAGAATCAATGAAGAATGAGTGGGAACTCATTCGAAATATCACATTCACACATGAGACAGCAGTTCAATAAAAAGAACCATAGAAAATAAATGCCCTGGCATAGATGAATACATCATCCATCCAATTTCTTGCTAGTGACTAACACTATCAGTTGAGTAGTAGAGCAACGGTATATCAATGATATGCGATCGAATTCTGGGACAGTCTGTTGATCACCTTTCTGGGACGCGCCATGCATACCTCGTCCTTCCAAAATTGTAGGGGCTTTTTGAACGCAATTTGGTCCATACAATGACTTGCGAGATGTGCCGGTCAATGCTTCTATCCTCCCTACAAATCTAGTACCAATTAATCTAACCGTATGAACGGAAGGCTTGATTATGGTTCAAAAGTTGAGCCCCTCACGGTGCGTGTAATGGGCAGCCCCACTTGCTACTATACGGTTTCCGCCCTAAAATGTAACCAAAACGTTCCGAAACGATGAATTATAACCATGAACCTCCTACGAAGGCATGTGTGAAGTGCGCAAAATGGTAATGCGCGAAGAAAGAGAATAATTTGCAGTCCTCCTGTCCTAGGAGAAAACAACATGTGACCCTCCATACTTTCTAAGCTATGGAATAGTAACCTAGAGCTAGGCAGTGAGGATGAAGCATTTTGACTGAAACACTTGGCTTTGGAGACATTTGAAAAGGTGACTGAAGAAGTGGAAGCAAAGGGTGACGATTAAAAATTGATTCTGAATTTGTATGCTACACATAAGTAGCCACAGTAGATGAGCATAGGAAAAATCAAAAAGAAGGGCTTCAGAGGTTCATGTCCGCAGATGTCATAATTTCGCACGAAAAGTTCCTCAACTACCTGCATCCATCGCAAACCGGATGGCTGTAGCGTTCCCATAGCCATGAGTCGAACATTGGTCGCTTGCACTTTATGCAGTTATCAGGGCATTCTTGATTAGCGAACTTTGCATCGGCTCCTATAAGTAAGCTTCAGAAGTTATCATGGAAGATCAAGGCAGATGAAGACAAGTTTTGCTTTCGCATAGCACGCTCTTAACAAACAAACAAACAGAACAAGACAATCACAAACTTTGCGTAATAACTTCGTATATTTCTTCTCGTGTTCTCATATTGGTCATCGCGTTCAAAAGCCCCGCTGCATAGACGGTGAGTTGTCTAAATTAGACAAGTCTTTCGATGTTGCGAAAATGATGAAATCGTTAGTAAGAACCTATGCAGGGCCATGTTATAGAAGCATTTTGTAGCTGTGGATGTCGCTGCACTCCAAATTCGAGGTATTTTTTTTTGCTGCGCGACTTTAACAAACATTTTTCAAGGACACAAATCAGTTGAGTTACGATGAGATTTTGTCTATGGCTGAATAACACGCGACAGGATTTTACATTCCAAAAGCGTCAAAGCCGGTCTCAGTCCAATTTATGCAAAAAGAATAGTGTGGATCTTTCTCAGCTCAACAGCAAGATGAAACATGAAAAAATTTTGCACTACAGACAGCATAATCTAATCGTAGAAAAAGAGTCCAGAAAAAGTTATCTACGACTTAATTAAGTGATTAATGAACATTTATTTAGCACACATGCATACCAACGAGAATCCTGTATTTTACTCCAAGGACATTAAGAAGGGCAGTGAATAAACGAAAACTATCGAAGTATTAGCTGCTACAACTTCCCTATAGGGAACTTTTTCCTTTTCCGGAAGGATGGAACACGCGTGTTTTGACCTTGATGTCCAGCGACTGGTTGAATTAATCGAAACAACAAGCCGTGAATTCATGATCATTTTTTGATACTATTACAAACGACTTTCAAAATAATCAGCTGGGCAACAGCTTGCTCGTTTATACTCCTAACGGCCTCAATACCAAGCCAGTGATACAATTAAAGGGAGAGGTCGTTCGGGCCTAAAGCGCTTTCTGAAAATGGTTTCCTGCATAATGTAGAGTGGATGTGCCTGGAGTACGTAACTGTGGTCCATTTCCGCTAAATGGCCCACTGAATGCCAAAAAAGGTGGGAAAGTGGTCCTTGGTTCGATTCCCCGCGGTGACAAAATTTTTGCACTGTGATTTGACGCCACAAAATTGGCACCGAAGAACGCCAACACCAGCAATTGATGTCATAATTACAATTAGCGTAATAACTTATAAGTATAATTAATCGGCTTACAAAAACCTTCAAGTGGGTTATATGCGAAACTGCGAAGAAAGTAGGACGCAAGAACGGCACACAAGCAACGGTCGTGAACGGCGTCATAGGGCCGAATGATCGAGGAGCTATACGAAGTTATTACGTAATCGGGCACCTGATAACCCTTGCAATGGAAGTTTCCAAGAATCAAGATTTTGGGCCAACTTCGAAAAATTGCTGATGGATAAGTAAACTTAGTCGTAGTAAACTCATAAAGTCAGTAGTAACTTAGTCATCGCAATGATCGGACGACCGACTATTGAAAAAATTGTAGCCTACAGAGATGTGACGCAGCTTCGTCGATGCTATATTAACGTCACATGTACGTCATTCACAGAATCACCTACAGGCGATCACCTAAATGGAGATGACATGTTGTGGAACAGAAGGTGACGATAACGTTTCCTGAAGAACTTCATATCGTCGAAACCGGTTCTCCTTCCGCGAGAATGCTGTCATTGCCCTGCTCGATGCTCATATTGCGCATATGACCCCTCTCCTTCTCTCGGGTCAAACGTTCCTTCAAAGATTCTTGAGGCATGTTTCACCCTGATTCAGTTTTGAATAGCTCGTCTATATGCGTCTTCGACACTATTTTAGGTGGATCGACGATTTCTTTGATTCAGAGCCTGAAACTTGAACTCGCTTATGATTGTCTGGAAAAATTAGATTTCGACCGCATCAGAATAATTTTGTTCGTCCCCAGTTTCAGCATCAGCAAAGCAAACATGCACCGGCATTCGCAAGGTGATCATAACCTAATCTAGTATAGTTAGGAGGGGGCACTAATATGCGGACTGGGCCTGGAGGGAGAGGATGAACTTCGTGGAATATGAAACCTGCTCACTCTTATCTCGTCCAGCCCATTCTAGCAACTTAGTCCCAGGTGCAGAGTAGAGGGGGACGAACGCTTGCTTGAACCTTCTTCTATGGTCCGGCCACGAATGGTGGAGGGCACAGACAATTAAAAACGACGTTTGGCAGGGCTACAAATCCCAGGCACGAAAGTGGAAGCCCCAGGACTAAGCTTTGTAGGAGAGAGTGAGTCCGAGGTGACGAGCCAATAGTTGGTTGAGCGCTTGATAAGGCAAGAGACGCAGACGAGAGCATAGAATTGAGGCTGCTTGAAGGACCGAGTTCACTCCGCCGACCAAGGGGGTATGGGAGAGGGAAATGCTGAGTGTGTCGGGCTCCTTGCATAACGATGGCATGAGCGTCCCTTAATCCTCCAATAATTCCTTGTCTTCTAACTCGCACACTATCAGAAAGCATGCATTTGAGACTATCTTGTTACACGCACTACGAAGCTTCTCATCATTTGCATACTTCCCCTATCTTTCTGACCCAGTGGCAATCTCACATATTCGGATTTCCAGACTTTTGCAACAACGTATAGAGAAACTCACTATCACCTCACAGACAAACTTAATGCCCGAACCACCCACTAAATTAAATCGGCGCAATGTGCCTCTCAGGCGGGAGGGATACCAGTCCCAGAGAACGCCTCTGAAATTAAGCCCAACGAAGAGGAACGAACTCCTGAGAGAATGAGAACTGCTGACGACCTCGAAGTCCCTTTTCTCCTCTTAGTCTTAGCCCCAAAACTGAGTCGTAGCGTTACGGGCTGCCCCCCCCCCCGGAGCCACATTGCGCCACGATATCTTACAAATACGTGTGAAAATATGAAGCACTGAAAAAGATTACCTGGAAACTAACTATGCTGGAGTTGGATCAAGCGTTTCGCAACTCAACAGCTCCTCCACTGCGGCGAAAAGTACTTAAGTACGTCCGCAATATTGCGTTCATGCTACTCCGACGCGCTTTTGCAGACCTCATCACTCGTTGTTCAATTTGATTTTTTAGTAAAGTTTATTGACCGTACATGTTGCGCAGTGCTCACGTGTGGCTTGCGCTATAAGTTATCCTTTTTTGTCTTCTGTCTGTTTGAAGCCCTATGAGTTAGTTTTTCTTGGCAATTTTGCAAAGTGTTTGTGTTGTTGCTAATTTTGACGCAATTTCACAGACTTTTTTTGAAATTTCTTCAACATCACTTTTCAAGTGTTTTTTCTTTTGTTTCGCAACTAGTAAAGTGGCCGAAGCTCTTCAAAGCTGAAATTTTACAAAAACGCTTATCAAATGTAGCGCATTCCTGGCAAGTCCCATGGTGAACCGTATTAGTTCATACTGTTCGAATATTCGACACTTACACTGTTACT